GCTGGCTTCCAACCACAATCCTCAGATCCCAGCCTCCTGAGCTCTGAATACCAGTCTGCGCAACACTCCCCTGGGTGATGCAAAAGTAAACCCAATGTTCCTGCTCCCTTTAAAAGCTTGTAGTTTAGCAAAACAAGATGTATGTAAAAATGAAAGGGTTATGGCTGCATTGTGTGGTAGGGTAGTGCCCAGAAGACAGTAAATGTAGTAGATTTCAGGGGATAATTGACATTTGAGCCCAGATTTTCTTTTTCTGGCAATGCTAGGAATTGAACCCAGCATCTTTCACATTATAGACCAGATCTGTCAGACCTACGTCCCTGGCTCTGTTAGCCAAGTCTTGACAAGTGATTAGGGCTTTCTAAGGTAGCCGAGTGTGAGACTGTCACTCGTGGAGCAGGGTAGAAACAGCTGTGCAGAGGCTGATGTGTTCTGAACCTACGAATATGAAGATTAGATGGTCAAAATTGGAGGCTTCCTGAGGTGAGACATATTGATAACTAAAAAGGAGCTAGGAGGTGTGTGAGTTTAGGAGCTTTTTTATGGAGTCTGAAAGGTAATCTGTAGACATTGTGGGACCTTGAGCTAAGAAATAAATAGACAATTGTAACCCCTCTGTACCGTATGTTCACAAATAAAATAAAATTAAAAAAAAGAAATAGGAGTTATAGATTATCTTAGCATACACTTGTCTAAATAAAATCTCAAAGGTAGAAATACTTCTTGAAAGCAAAAAAAAAAAAGAAATAAATAGAATCAGTCCCACATTTTGAAAAGATAGGCACCTGTGGCTCGCACCTATAATCCTAGCTACTCTTGAGACTGAGATATGAGGGTCGGGGTTCAAAGTCCATGAGACTCTTATCTCCATCATAATTTTTTTGGGGGGGTCCAGTCGTGGGCCTGAACTCTGGGCCTGGGCGCTGTCCCTCAACTCCAGCTCAAGGCTAGCACTCTACCGCTTGAGCCACTTCCAGCCTTTTTTTTTTCTGCTTATGTGGTGCTGAGGAATCGAACCCAGTTCCTCTCCATTTATAATTTAACCACCAAAAAGCCAGAAGTGGAGCTGTGGCTCAAGTGGTAGACAACTAGCCTTGAGCAAAAGAAGTGCAGAGACAGCAAGGGGCTGAATTCAGTCCCCAGGACCAGCACAAAAAAAAACATGTCATTAAGAAAATGGAAATTAAATAAACATATTAAATAATCATATTATCCCTGGATTGGGCTGTATAAAATCCACAACACTAAAATTCAAAATGCCACTGAGGATGTGGAATGACAGGAATTCTAGTTCATTTGTGATGGAATGCAAAATGGTGCAGGCATTTCAGAATGTTGTCTGGCAGCTTCCTAAAAACCTAAACATATAAAAAAAAATAAACACTTTACCATACAATCCAGTAGGGGCACTGTATTCTGTAGGATTCCTCCCAATCTGTTGAAAACATTTTTCTTTTTACGCACCCACATTTGAGGGGTATTGGTGATTGAACTCAGGGCTTTGCACTTACTGGGAAGGTGCTCTGTCAGTTGAGCTAAACCTCTATTTCTGTCTTTTTGATGTTTAATTGGAGATGAGGCTGTCAAATTTGTCTCCCAGCCGGGCGCTGGTGGCTCACGCCTGTAATCTTAACTACTCAGGAGGCTGAGATCTGAGGATCGTGGTTCAAAGCCAGTCTGGGCAGGAGAGACCGTGAGACTCCTATCTCCAATAAACCACCAGAAAACCGGAAGTGGCGCTGTAGCTCAAGTGGTAGAGCGCT